CTGGGACCAAACTCATAAAGAGATTTCAGATCAAGGCCCACATACTGCCCTACGTACGAACCTAAGTTGGAAGGCAATGTAAAAAAGTAAGTCATCTTATGTTCTTTGTTGTAACAAATACCATTCAATTAATTGTCTTCATAAAAAAAGGAGTAAACACTTAGAAAGTTGGATACAGAACAAGATCAATTTTTTTTAAATTGTTAAACAATGTTTTAAAACCGATCGTCCCTGTGTAAACGAACCATGAAGGGAAGATCAGCCCACTTTGGTAGGCTATACCACATATACGAAAATTAAATCATATGATAACTGATAGGTAGCTATTGAAGTTAAAGAAATAAGTGCCGCCTATTAGTTATCATATGATTTCATTTTCGTAAAAGATCGTGAGCACATTTGAGATTTACTTGTATTCGAGTGAATTTAACGGCTTTATTCTGTATATCCATTATTCTCGAATGTTTGCTTGTTCATATATATATAATCGCATTTGTGTAACTTGAATATTCCTGACGCTGCGTGCATCTTATATATATGTGTGTGTGTGTGTGTGTGTGTGTGTGTGTGTGTGTGTGTGTGTGTGTGTGTGTGTGTGTGTGTGTGTGTGTGTGTGTGTGTGTGTATGTGCGTGTGCGTGTGTGTGTGTGTGTATATACTTCTGAAGGGAAACACGAGTAATTCAAAATAAAGAATTGCAACACACCGGTCGAATAGCGTTAAAGGAGGAGAATTTTTTTCGGAGAGATCAAAATTGATAGAATGGACTACGTTTTAGAGCTTTTTTTCATTTCCTATTGCATATGCATTTAATAAAAACAAAATTCCATGATGTGAGGATAGAAGACATTCAGAGATACGAAGACAATATCTAGTAAAAATCAAAGGCTTGGTTGTTTGTATTGTATACAATCATGACTAAAAATAATATAATCCAAATTTCGTTCATAGATATGTAAGGAAGAAGTATTCTATTCTGTATGTAGATGAAGATTAGATTATTACATTTAACAAATTCTATTTACTTTTCACATTTGTAAATGCTAGTCCTGTAGGCTACATCTCTTATAAACATGATTTTCGGAATGTCTTAACTACAATCAAGAAAATACAATGGAAATACCCCATCTAACTTCTTATTTCTTAACATCATGAAGAGAAGTTCCATTTATAGAGACAATGATTAGGAAGAGTGTGACTTATATATGTCTTTTTTTTTCTTTTTTTTTCTTTTTTACCTATGAAAGTAAGTATGTGAAAAAAGCGTGTTTTCTATATTTTTACGAATAGGTGTAACTTTTGAGAGCAATAGTTTAAGGTCGAATTCGAAGGAAAGTTGCTAATTACGTCCCGAAACCTGATTTTTAAAATGAAATGAGCCTCAACTTCATTGGTTAAAATTTACGGGCAAAGGCAGGAACATGTCTGACTTTTCGGGTTTTTTTTTTTTTTTTCTTTCTTTCTTTCTTTCTTTCTTTTGTTGTATTGTCTTTTTTCTCTATCTCGCTTTTTCTTCTCTTTCGTAGAACTCCATAACTTTTACTTTTCAACTCTGATTTTATATTTTAGAACATATCCGACTTCTCACCTATTTTTTTTTTCTCTCAAAAATTCGTTTTTAACCGACTATGAGAATGAAAGGGCTGGAATCGCTACTTCATTATTTAAAAAAAAATGAAGAACATTGGATGATTTTCACGCAGAACTAAAATCGAAATTCTGAACGAAAGAACCCCTCCGCCGCGTAGACTCCATCACATCGGAACCAAACGGAGATCTCCATCGACCAAGTATAGGCCTATAACATGATCAGAGCTCGATTTGCCTTCTTAAAAAAAATCGAATTGACGGTTCTTTTAATAGGCAGATTTTATTTGTTTGCCCGGATATGAGATCACGACGCCAAGGCTAAAATGTAAAACCGGTGGGCTATTATTGGTGCGTTATCGCTTTGCAAATTGATTTTCGTGATTTGTGTATGTATGTTGTGATATTGATATCAACATGAGTGTATTTTCTTATTTATAAAATTCCACAGTGACTGACAAAGAGGTGTGTGTGTGTGTACGTGTGTGTGTGTGTGTGTGTGTGTGTGTGTGTGTGTGTGTGTGTGTGTGTGTGTGTGTGTGTGTGTGTGTGCCTCTCGTAAAATGTGTACATGCTAAAAAAAATCATTATTATATATTATTATAATAACGATTATCATCAAAATGATAATGATGATGATAATGATAATGATAATAATAATTATTATAATAACGATTATCATCAAAATGATAATGATGATGATAATGATAATGATAATAATAATTATTATAATAACGATTATCATCAAAATGATAATGATGATGATAATGATAATGATAATAATAATAATAATAATGATAATGATAATAATAATGATAATAATAATTATTATAATAACGATTATCATCAAAATGATAATGATGATGATGATGATAATGATGATAACAACTATAATAATAATAATAATGATAATAATAATTATTATAATAACGATTATCATCAAAATGATAATGATGATGATAATGATAATGATAATAATAATAATTGTAATAATGATAATAATAATTATTATAATAACGATTATCATCAAAATGATAATGATGATGATAATGATAATGATAATAATAACGATAATGATAATGATAATGATAATAATAATAATGATAATGATAAAGTTATAAAGTTTAAGAATAGTGGTAAAGAATAATATTCATGGTAACAGTAAGCGCCATAGCAATAATGATATCAGTAATAAACGTGATAATAATAATGATAATAATAATAATAATAATAATAATAATAATGAGGATTATGATTATAATGAAGTACTGATAATAATAATGATAATAATAATAGTAACTAATGATAAAAGTAATAATAATTGTTGTTATTATCAGTAGCAGTAATAGTAGTATAGTAATAATGATGATTATACCTATACTGCTACTCATAATGATAATAATAAAAATGATATAAACGATAACAGTAATATTAATAATAGTAGTAGTAATAGTAATAGTAACACTCATGGTAACAGTAATCGTCACAATAATAATATAAATAATAATAGTAACGATAATAATTATTGTAATAACGATTATCATAAAAATGATAATGATATTGATGATGATAATGATAATGATAATAATAATGATAATGATAATAACAATAACGGTAATAATAATAATAATGATAATGATGTTGATAATAATGTGAACATAACAGTAATAATGATAATAATATTGATAATGATAATAATAATAATAATAATAGTAATAATGATAATAATAATGATAATAATAATAATAATAATAATAATAATAATAATAATAATAATAAGAAGAAGAAGAAGAAGAAGAAGAAGAAGAAGAAGAAGAAGAAGAAGATGATGATGAAGAAGAAATAATAATGATAATGATATTAATGGTAAAATCAGAATCAAATTACTCTATCTATATCATGATCCAGTTGCCACGTGACAAAGAAGCCGGATGACGCAGAAATGAAAGCTTAAGAGTGTCAGAGAACAGTCTTGTGTTTCAGCCGTGGAGCCGCTGTCTCATACCCGGGCGAATAATTTTATCGAATCTAAGTCTCCCAGTTTGAATGTATCCTTAGGAAAAGACAAACACACACAGGCGTATTTTCATACACCACATTTATTTCTCTTCTTTTACACACACGCACGCATGTATAAATACACGCATACACAAAAAACACAGACTCACAGAAACACTCACTCATTAGGACGCACACAGAAATAAACTCACAAATAAGGGCATGAACAAATTATACACGCACACAAATTACACACACACGCACAAGGGCATGAACAAACCCAAATACACACAAATATGCGGAAAACATCATCCACAAACATCATCCTCACACAAAGGAAAACACATGCAAATGCATGTAAATCGAGGGCATCAGTTGAAACAGTTAATCCGCCTTTTATCCAGGTGGTCGCCATGGCCGAGTGGATACAGTGTTCGAGGAATTCCAGGTCATAGCTTGGAATCCTCATGACGGTCGGTGTGGAACATTCCCGTGTTCCAGCTGATGGTCCAAACCCGAGAAAAAGCGAGAAAAAAGAAGTATTTCTACTAGAAAGTTAAACGTTGGTGTCTTCGTAATCCTTCAGGCCAGAGTGGATGAGAAGGACAGTATGGAACAAGCGCTTTAGAACCAGAGGCAAATGACACGTCACGGGATGCTTACAAATATCCCTTACTGGGCGCTGGCGTGGTTGAGCATTAGGGTAAAACCAACAAACATTCATACGTACATACTAATATACGTGTGTGCTATAATAAAAGGAAATATCTTATTGCAAATGTAAGTGCATTTTGTTCAACAATCTTTTTTATATTATAATTCTGCTTGTGTTTCCTCAGTCCGTCCGTCCATTCGTACATTTGCATTTTACGTCTCAATCTGAACGTTACGCTTTCATTTTACGTTTGAGTTTGAACGTTACTTTACGTTTGAATTCGTTCGTCTGTTCTTACGTCA